CCCTCAAAGTGATCTCCGGAAAGGTTCGTGACTTAGAATTTCACAACGATGAAGCAATAATCTTGGAAGAGTGATGTTTTAGAGTAGTATTTTGTGTTATCCATTTGGGAGCAGAGGCCAGTTTTGCGACGTCTCGAGACGTCGCTAATCACAGATCCGTTTTAAATCAATACTTTTCGGGGCGTGGAGAGCTCCACAGTGTGCTTGAGCATACCTAACGAATCCAAAGCCCATAATCAAATATTTCATTTCGCATTCAAAGCGGTGTTTGGTGGAGCAAATACAGGAAATGTGTAGAAATGAACACGTGATTGACTCTTCGATCAGACTTGCAGGGATGAAGTTGGACATATTCTACCCGATCGCTCACGGTAATACCTAAGTTAAACTCTGATCTACTCTAATTTAGGCTAATGTGGCGAGGGTTCTACAAAACTAAATACAGAACGCAAATTGTTTATTATGACCTTCAAGAAACAACTGTCTGGGAACCGAGGGTTAGCGATGAACCTGCAGAAATGCACAGTTACGATCATGTATTTTTTAGCATGTGGCCGGCATGAATTTCAATATATCGATTCCTTACTGATAAACCCTAGACCATCAGATGTATAGGCCGTGGGTTATATATTGACGTTATAATTAACCATTGCAGCTCCGAAGGATCTTCCTACCTGCACCGATTAGTATGTAGTGTGTATGCATGCGTGAACGAAATAGTCAACGGTGCATTTTAGTCACCAATTTCGCAGCTGTAAATGTTTAATGGAGTGATTTTCAGTCATACTGGGAAGCCCTACTGACTGCCTTCCGGTGGTAACCGTATTTGTACTAAAGTGTTGCAATGAAAACCCAGTAGTCATACAGTGGTTAGGTTAACAAGCCCCTGTAAAATTATTTTTCAAAACCTGAGGGGTGAACGTTTAAGTTGTCCGCAATACATACTGGTCATGTGCTTCCAATGGGCATTTTGTCATTCAGATACTTGCCTGATATATGCCTGAAAAATGGACTTCCGTACGCAAGTTTGGGGAACACCGCCAGTTAGGGTTATCAGTGAAATCGTTTGTCCAGGAAATGCATGCTGTTGTGTTTATTTTGCTACCTCAACCATATTCCGTGTATTCATAGTCCCTTCTCGAGTAATTTCATTGTTCATTTTCAATGGAATTTTAAAAGGTATTAGCCGTTAGTATTTCAAGTATTTTCATTCAGACTGCAATTGTCCATTTGTATAAGCAAAACTGTTTGGATATGTGTATAATTGAGCTGCTCCTTCTCTTTCCTCTCAGATGTCGGAATCCGTACATAGCATTAAATTGCCCGCCCCGCGCGAGGTGACTCCCCTCATTCGTACTGCCCGTTGGAGTCTACTGGCATTGGGAATCGTTTATGGTGCCATCCGTCTAAAGTACTTGAAGTCCCGGGAAGTCAACATACAAAAGAGGAACAAGATTATCATTGAAAAACGGGCAAAAGAATACAAAGAATGGTTCGCCGAACAAGCCGAAAAGTCCGCTCAACAACTGGCCCGTGAAGCTGGAGTTTTACCAAAATCCTGATGAAATAATTCATGACATGTAGTCGAGATCTACTTCAATACAAATTTTAGCGTCTTCAATTCTTCCCAGTTGCGTTCTCCATAAGTTGAGTTGAACAAAACAGAAGCAATTTAACGAACGAGGCTCATTTGAGAGGTACTTTGGTGATATAGTTCAGAAGAAGAGTAAAGGCTGCTGAGTTTAAGCTCCAACCCTCGTCATTACGAATTATTGTTACACATTTCGTCGTCCGCCCTTCTTGTGTTAGCAACGAACCCGAACCAACCACATCACTGTAGGCTACGAATGGGAGAATTCCGCACAAACTTTGGTTGTATCGCAGCAACCCTCAAAATCAACTGCTTAGCTTGCTCTAAATTGTCCTTGCGACTTGATGGGCGTATTAAACACATGCTAAACTGTGTTAAGCTTCATAAACCGGAATGCTTGACCGTCTTTCAAAATGCGATGGCCAAGTAGCTGGAACTAACCCCATTTGATATCATCAATCAACACTGCTCGTGTTGTGACACCTTGAGTTTCTGCTCGAATTAATCCTGATCACCAGCAATTGGCAACAGCAGAGCTGTATGCTACCGGGCCGATCCCCAGGTCGCCGATAGGGGAACGACCGCTAACTCACAATTAATCGTGTATAATGTGGGCTTAGGTTCACCGAATTTCGCGCGTGATCAGCGGCAGTGCTCGAGGATGGGGTCGGTCTACCACTTGGAAAGGGTTCTACATACAAAAATACCATCTGTATCTTATGACAGCCCTGTGACGTGGTGAGTGTGGCCTTCCACGGACTATAGCCATTGCCTCTTTGTCGAGTTCCATCTACCCGACAAGATTTTCCAGAAGAGGAGAATGAACCGGTCACCGGCTCATCTAGAACAATACGTCTAAATTGTAGTTCGCGCTTGATTGAGCAAAGGCTAGGGTGCATCCTCGAAGAAGGCCTTCTGTGGACTGGGCTACCGAGTAGTGCAACAGCTCACTACTCAAACGAAACTAAATACTGACTTTCACCTATCCAGGAATTCGTTCCCACAGCTTTCCTCTTCAGAGAAGGTCGCCCATGTTTCCCAATTTTGCCTTCACCTCATATTCACCAACTCCCCTCAAGCAATTCGAGTGCCCTCGGGGTCTTCAGACAATAGTACTAACAGCTGTGCTTCAGACGGAAATCTTGCGGCCTGAATCGACTGGGGTCCAAGTCTCTCCGAGTCCTCCTCCACCGACTGAAGCTCTTCTTCGTTCTCAATACCCGTTCAGACTGACCACATTTAATGTGTGTATAGGACAGCAGGCACGTTTAGCTCGTACCCTCGAGACCCTAGCCATCAATCTGTGTTGTGTCCAAGAGACACATTTAAGTCTCCAGCCACACCATCTGATTGGTATAGCCATCAAACCTATCTGCCAAGTTTCACTTGCGTCTTCCTGGGAACCCTGAGGCTTCGGCCTCTGTTTTCTTTTCTGGCGTTGGCGTAGCTCACAGTGAGAGAACTGAAGCTGCGCTCCTAGAGTGGATCCCAGTCGGCTGCGCACTCTACTTTCTTCAGAGGTACATAGACTAAAATCGGAACGATACAGAGATGATTAGCGTAGCCCCTGAGCAAGGATAACACTCACGATCGTGAAGCGTTCCAATTTTTCGGGCGCTGATAGCGTACTAGTCATCGGCGTGCTTTGAACCCTATTGTCTGAGGTTCGGACCCCAATACCCTGGTAGACAGCTTTGCTGTCCGGTTAAATACCACGGCTGATCTAGCGGGGCTTTATGTGCTTCGCCACCCCAAGTCCCGGGGCTTAGGTTACCGGTTATCACTGAAAAGCAGCCCTTCGGTTGTTCGTCACACAAGTTTATCATAACAAAGTGGGACTTGGAGGTTCGTGCACCGCAACTTGTTGGTCATCTCAGCATACACACCCACTAACTGTAGCCCAGATGCAGTCAAAGATACTTCCTACCAAAAACTACACGACCTTTTGCGTAAAGCGAGCTGGGCTGATATCGTGATTTTCGCAGGAAATGTGAACGCTAGAGTTGGCCGGCTGACCTCGAGCGAGGCGCATCTAGGAGACCTTTTCCGACTAGATTCCTATCGCTCGGAAAACGGCGAACGGCTGTTGGCTCTATGTTCCAACCACCGCCTGTTCCTCGCCAGTGCGAACTTCTGACATTCCAACTACAGGCGCGCCACGGGGCGTACGCCCTCCTCGAGTCAGCGACGTACGCAGATCGACCATATCGCTATAGGTTACAAATGGCGGGACTGCATACAAGACTGATACGCAGCACCGGCCATCGTATACCGGATGGCAAAACCATTAGCGACGAATATGAACAGAATATCCACAATAAAGGACAACGGCTTGATCGATGAACAGAGTATTTTGGTGGCCTAATGCTAGTGTGGTTATTCCGGCAATTGCAGCGGAAACGACGTGGGTGGTAACTTGTGAGCCTCCAACGGAACCAGAAGTTCAAAGTTGTGTTTAATCACCAAAGAAAAGAGGTAGCGAGACTTGATGGGCTTTTCTCCACTCTTTTTAAGCTAAGGTGGGCGATTCTAATCGACTCGAATACGTGGCAGAATTTGGTAAGAAGAACGTATCCCTTCATCTTGAGGTGAATCATTGATCGTTCAGATCTTCAAGAAGGGATCACACTACAACCGCGCAAACCACCGTGGGATCAATTTGGTCTCGATCATCACAGAGGTGTTCACTCTTGTGATACGTCGCCATCTGACACCCTTAAGAGGAATGAATATTCGTGATCAGCAAACAGAATTCTAACCAGGTCGTGGTTGCATTGAACAAATCTTCACCTCGCGACAAATCCTCGAATTACGCCACAGGCATTGTCGACCGATACTCGCATTGTCCCTCGGCCTAGAAGGAGCCAATTCAGTTGACCGCGAAGCCTTAATGAATTTGCTGCTTCGCAAAGGAGTGCCGCAGAGGTATTGAAGTCACTGTATTCGCATACTTCTGGTAGCTTGAGGGTCTATGGTGGACTAACCCAATCGTTCGAAACCAGAAGCGGTGTTCATCAAGGGAACTCTATTTCGCCATTCTTATTCACTTTCTTCGTGGGCACAATACAGGAGAGTCTTTTTTTCTTTTTTACTTCCTTTTATTGAATACACAAAGATACAATTTTCAGGAAGGGAGAAGTGGTCAATCAAAAGGCTGCTATACAACACATAAATGGGAAAAGTCAGGCGGTGGTGGTGGGATTCGAACACTCGTCCTCCGGG